TGTTCTACCTAACTAGGCCAGTGGTAGGAGAACAAACAGAGGCAGGTTTGTCTTCACATAAAAGAAAGGTTTAAGTAGCATTTAATTATTTAAAAAGTAGTGAGCTTAGCTGTGCTGTTTGTGCTCTGACTGACCTTTGGTGAAGCCAGGCACTTCCCCCCTCTTTAGCTGTTCTACCTAACTAGGCCAGTGGTAGGAGAACAAACAGAGGCAGGTTTGTCTTCACATAAAAGAAAGGTTTAAGTAGCATTTAATTATTTAAAAAGTAGTGAGCTTAGCTGTGCTGTTTGTGCTCTGACTGACCTTTGGTGAAGCCAGGCACTTCCCCCCCCCCTTTAGATTGTTTTTCAATTAGGGAGCTTTTCCTGATTCCACAAGGGAAGCAGGTGGTTCCAGTAGAACCTAGATAGGAGTAGTTCAAAACCCAAAAACCTTTTAAAAGGTTTGAACAAGCCATCTCAAGGACAGTCTGGACCTACATCAAATCCCTGCAGGCATTCACTCTTACCTTTGAATTGCTTCATGAGACCCCCCAGAAAGGGACCGATACCACAGCAGCTCTGGAGCCTCCACTGCAGGTCAGAGGAGAAAGCCACTGGAATCTCAAAGTTCTCCTTCTCCTTACACCTAGCAAAAAAGCACCAATAGTGTTCAGGGAGATCAGAATTTGTGAGAGAAGCAAGAGAACAGAAAGGGAAGGGAGCAGAATCCAGGCACTGTACAGCAGGCAGCTGAGAGGAGCCACTGGCAGGTGTAGAATTCCAGAGAGGAATGGAAATGCTTTAGGAAAGGGAGCCCACCTCATTACAAGCATCAAACTAGACGTTATGTGGAATGTACTAGTGTCTTCTCATGGGCCTCCAGCAATGAAAAAGAAACATAATGGGGAACGACTATGCCAACAGTCACCCACACCTCAGCTTCATTTAAGTGGCTGCCTCTTGCGGTGAGGTACAGACCACCTGATCTGATGTGGTTGCAGTTTCCCACATTTCTCTGAATCCTCAGAGCACGTGTGATACTTCGAATGGACTTCTCGGCCTCTTGGACACCCTTCAATTGTCCCTGCCACCACCTAGAGATTTTAGGAAATTTGCAGAGCAGTCCGAAAGCGGAGTGACACCCTTTCTAAGTGCATGGAAGTCAAAGGGCTAAGAAGAGGGTAACTCTGCCGAGGGCTACACTTAGAGAGTTCTCATTCAGCCAATAACTGTCCTCTTGAAGTCGTCTGTTCTCATGTGTGAGATGAGGAAAGGATTCGACCTCCCCATCACCTTCCATCTGGCTGGATAAACTTAAGAGTGGCCAGAATGTCACAGTAGTAACTCAGATCATGTCTTAAAGTCAGTGGACAAATGGTAAAAAACAGAAAAACAAAAATCTATGCGGGGTTTCAGCTCCCCATAACAGCCACGTTATCCCCATGTCTAACTGAACTGTAGTGTTAGGAACACAACACATCCCCAACTCCTCCTCCCTTTGGAGATGCTCAGTGGCCCAGGGTGTTCCTCGTCAGAAAGGAACTTCTGGCTAATCTGTGTGCCAGCCAAGTCCTTCATCAAGAGTAGCCAAGGAGAGAAGGGCAGTGCTCAGGTTGTGATCCTTGGGGAAGCAATGGAGGAGGGATACTAATATGATTGAGTGCACCAATTTCCTGCCAGTTAATTGGGGAGGGGGAACTGAGGAAGATCTAGATCAGGGGTCTCTAACCTTTTTGAGCCTGTGGGCACCTTTGGGATTGTGACATGGAATGGTGGGTGCAAGCTCAAAATGTCTGCCAGAAGAGGCGGAGCCAACTCAAAATGTCTGCCAGAAGAGGCAGAGACAAAAAAAATAATCACACACATTATTTAATGTTTTATTTTAAATATTTGCCTCCTAATACCCAAATATTTACCTCGCTTCAAGCCAGTTAGTCTCCTTTCTTCCTGGACATTGCTACTCAGGAGGAAAAAAAGCTGGTTCATAGTGTTGGGGACCTCTGATCTAGATGGACCACTTGTTTGATTAAAGAAAGCTCTTATATGTTATGCTGCTGGAAAGGCTGGCATCAAGCTAGCAGAGGCTGCGGTCCCTCTAGGATGACCTTTCCCCCCCCCCTCTTCCTGTAGTATTTAAAGCTTGGGCTGGGCGGGAGGCAGGAACCCTCGTAAGCAAGCTGAAGGCCAAGAGACTCTTGGCTCACAGCATGGGACAGGCAATGGTTAGCTTGGTGGAGTCAGACCAACCCAGAGTTGTTCCGTCTTTTTTCGTTTGTCAATTTGTTTTTGTGATTTCTAATTTTTTCCCCTTACATGTAAGCCATTTTGGGTCCTCTTTGGTAGAAATGCAGCTTGAAACACTGAAGAATCCGGAGTCCTGCGTGCTCTCCCATGGCGCCTAAGGGCCACACACTTCTCCTGCTGCCCTAAGGCTGCCCTTCCCCTGCCCCCCCTGCTCCGTTCCCCATGCTCAATCAACTGCGCCACAAGACATAAAACGGAAGGAAGTGACATGGTGGACATTGTGATGTCACTTCCGGGTGACCGGCTGCATGCTCTAGTCTAGGACTTTCCTCTAGTCTCTGTGATCTTTACTATAGAGGTGGGGAAAATTCCTAGAGCCTGGAAGTGGCATCACAGCATCAGCAACACTCCCCCTCTCCCGGCTCCACCCTGTCCCCCCAGCAGCTCACGGTTCTGCCGTGCCATCACAGGTCTGGCAACCCCATATTATTCAGACCCTGTCCAGAATGATGAAGAAGGAAAATGGATGTGATGCACTTACCTCTGCAAGCTGCTTCTGACATCCTGGAAGGAAGAAAGGGAAACTCAGTGGCTGCCATGGACCACACTGGCACATGGAAGTCTTTCCCTGCAGCTAGTTTATTTGGACCATTCACATTTCCTCATCCTCCGATTGTCCCCTGTTCAGACTTTCCATGTCCTCAGTGCATCCCTTCTCAAACCTGCTTTGGTGCAACCAGTCCAAAAAGAATGCAGACCAAGCAGGTAGCATACCGTCTGGATGGGATTTTTGAGGCTCCAGTCTCCCTGGTACCATTTTCCTTCTGTCAGCCCATCAAAGCTGCCATTTTGCCTGCTGTGCCACCAAAAAGCTATTTTTTCAATTGATAAATTGCTATCATGCTATAGCTTCCATTTTTAGAAAAAGGTCTCTAGCCCTTTTCATTGCAGAGATATCAGGGGACTAGCCATGCAAGAAAAAGTTCTAGCCACTTCTTTGAAGAAATGACAGCTGGGAAGTCAGAGGAACTAGCAGGATGTAGCAACAAATTGTTATGCCATTTTGCTGCAGTATGATAGCAGCTATCAATTTTTTAAAAGCCCTCTGGTGTCACAGGTGATGGGGGAGAAACAAGGAAAATAAGAACATAGGAGAAGCCAATGTTGGATCAAGCCAATGACCCATCCAGTCCACTGTCACACAGTGGCCAAAAATACCAGGTGCCATCAGGAGGTCCAGCAGTGGGGCCAGGACACTAGAAGACCTCCCACTGTTGCCCCCCCAGCACCAAGAATACAGAGCATCACTTGCCCCAGACTGAGAGATGGAGGAAAGTGCACACAAAACTCCCATGAGGACACTCCATTTCCAATGCAAATGACTCTGCATTTATGTTGGTTGTTGCCCTGCAGGCATCTTATAAAGGATGAACATGAAATATGACTCTCAGCTGGACTGTACAATGAGTGTGCCAGGGAAAATGGACTGAATGATGACCATGAGACGGAGCCTCGTTACTGGACAGAAGACATGTGCCCAGCGAAGGGAAGCCTTGCACTGAAGCAGCATGTTAAACCAAATGTGGGCCCACGGAACACCTGATGCCATCCATCCCTGCATCTCCAAAGATACACTGCAGACCCAGGTAGATGACACGCCAGCCTCCCTGACATCGCAGCCACATGGAGCCGGCAGCCAGACTTCCAGAGAAGCCATGCTTTGCAGAGGCAGCCTGGACACTCCTGCACAAGCACCATGTTCAAGCCTCTCCTCCATCATGCAGGCATTCCCCCCCCACATACCTTCTCCTAGCAGCATCAGCCAAAGCTGCACGTACTCATCCTCAAGTAAAACAATAGAACTTGACCAGGACGAGACTAACTGAGCTGCCAAACACACCCACTGCCCCATCAAGGTAACACCGATGCAGATCATCGGATCATTGACTCTAACGACTGGCCAAGCATCTTCTTCTCCTTTGTCTTCAGCCCCTAACTCTGAAAGGTGTCACTATTAAGAAACATTATGTCAGTTGCCCAACTATTAATCCCATTCTCCCGGTCATCTCCTGGCCATTAGTAAGTGGATTTTTCTAGAGTTCCTGGGGACTACGTGAGTGACAAAGCATCCCCCTCCCAGTCAGTCTAGGGTATATAAGAAGAGCATCTACCCATTGCTCTCTCTTGCCTGACCCCACTCTACCTTGCTGACTCTAGTCCTAGAAGAGATTGAATTTATACCCCGTCCTTCACTACCCAAAGGAGTCTCAGAGCGCCTTACAAACTCCTTTCCCTTCCCCTCCCCACAACAGTCACCCCGTGAGGTAGGTGGGGCTGAGAGAGCTCTTGACAGAAACTGCTCTTTTTCAAGAACAGCTGTGCCAGAGTTATGGCTTGCCCAAGGTCATCCAGCAGGTGCAAGTGGAGGAGTGGGGAATCAAACCCGGTTCTCCCAGATTAGAGTCCGTGCACTTAACCACTACACCAAACTGGCTCCTAGCGCTGTC